TTGAATTTTCAATAGAGCAATTTTTTATATTGTGGTTGAGAGGGATAAGGTTTAAATGATATGCTGGTCCAAGGTTCAATTCCCTTTAACATCTTGGAGGAAGTCTTATGACAGAAGACATACACACTGGATAGTTGAGATGGATGTGTCAGATTAAGCTACGTGCTATGGAAACTTCTGATTACCCGTGACCTGTCTGTCATTCTTTAGTTTGAAAAATCATGTATAGTTTTCCTTGAGTGTGACTTTTACAGATATATGTAGGGTCACTAAATATCAGGGGACAAACTTCATCTTCTTATATAATATTCCTAAATAAGTGGAACTGGATCTAGTTCTCTACCCATCTCATGATCAAAATGATTGTTGTCATCTGCAGGCCCAAAATGATGAGTTTGCTGCCATCTTCAACCTTGAAGATTACAAAGGTGGGCTTAAATAATAATTAAAAAAAACTTGTTTGTTATGGTTTATATGCTTTAAGGTTCATTGATGCATTATTGAATGAGAGTCATTCAAGTATGGTAGTACAATTAAAGCTAGTTTTGAACTGGAAGTCTGGATACTTTTATTTTACAAGAATGATCATAAAATGAATTCCAATGAGGTTAGCTGGTCAACAAAATTAGTTCATTTCACCTGAGGCTTGAGACAAGCACAAGTACCAGATGTCCTGTTTCTTGACTATGTTAGATGAACTATGGTTATCTGCCTTCTTGTTTGTTTACATGCTAATATTAGCCTACCCCTTATTGACCATGATGTGCTTGGGCCTGTGTGCTGGGTAAGGGTGCTTGTTTAGCTGTTAAGGTTCTCACTGATTTCTCAACCTGGAAACTTTCTTTACCTTCAGGGGGAGAGACAGTGACTATCCAAAAGTCTCCGCATTGAGATCTCATAATTTTTCATATAATTCTTAGGCAGATTCACTATTATACCCAATATAGGGGCCCAAATTTTTTTTTTTTTTTAAACCTATATGAAATGGACTTTAGAAACTCACCCAAAGCCCATTTACAACATAACAAAGAGGCTTTTAACTTCTTATAAATTAAAAAACTGCCATTGATTTCTTAAAACAAGCCCAACCCCAAAACCTCATATAAAACCCAAAACACTCAATAGGGCATCAAAGTAATTTAATAATTAAAATTAAATTCAATAGGGCCAGCTGTCATTTTTTGGGTTTGTTTATAGAAATTAAATGGTGTAGGGTTTATCTATATCATTAGTGCTAAGAATAGGTATATGACTAAATATCTCTAATTTTCTTAAGCTGATTATCATATTAACTAGTACAGGAATATATGGCAACTCAGGAATGCTTCCTCCTCTTCACTTTGTTGGAAGGTTGCATCATTTATTCACAATCTGGAGTGTTGCATATTCAAACGAATTCATGTCTTTGTCACGTCCAACACGGGTGTTTTACATGCTTATAAGATGTTTCTCAAATTTGCATCTGTTCTTCTTACCTGTTCTGCTGTCCATGTTGATATCTCAAAATCTATCATTATAAAAGCATTCTTCTATGTTGGGTCTTTTTCTTTACTCTATGTTTGGATGTGTTTGTAAGAAGGTCCTCCAGCTTTGTTACGGCCTAAAGTTTTACTTGTTTAATTTTAATGGATTGCGTTCTTATTCATGCTTCTTGTTTTTTTTTTTTAAATTCCTTCTCAATTTGTCGCAGCTTCTCGTGAGAAATGTTACAAGCAGATTCAAGCTGCCATAGCAAAGTTCCGTGAAATTAAGGACAACATAAACGAGGGGTTAAAGTTTTATGTTACTCTCCAGGTAATTTTCAACAGTGTGCTGTGCACTTTACTTTATAGCTATTCAAGCACACAATTTTTGTAGTTATGGTTTGATCTCTTCTGGTGTCTTATGTGAGAGCATGCTATCATCTTCACATAGAATTGTCTCTCTGACTTCATGATCCGATGGTGTGCAAAAAGAGTCTCATTATCTGAGGCACGATAAGCGTTGGTGAGTGGTTAATTTGATTTTTCTGTTTTCAACAGGATGCAATAACGAATGTAAAGCAGCAGTGTAGTGATTTTGTGATGACTAGAAACATCCAGTGCCAGGAAATGATTGAAGATGTGCACAAACAAATGGCAGGCCTAAATTTCCAAGATGCTAAAAGCGTAGGCACATACAACAGCTATCCTTCTGTTGGACATCAAGCTCAGAGACCTGTTTCACAACAGCAAACAGATCCTCGTCCTCAAACACCATACTACCATCCTCCTGAGCAGCCAGCAATGGCTGGGTATGCTCACCCTCCCCCCTATAGCTCAACGCAGCAGATGCCATCTCCTTACGTTCTGCCACCTCAAACTGGTAGTCCATACGCACCTTCTCAAGCTGGTAGTCCGTACCCACCTCCTCAAGCCGGTAGTCCATACCCACCTCCACAGGCCCAGCAACAGCCACCTGCAAACCATGACTATGGTCAACCTGCTTATCCAGGGTGGCGAGGTCCATACTACAATTCCCATGCACAACAAGCTGGATCTCATCCTCGACCTCCTTACACCATTCCAGGTCAATACCGTCCTCCTCAACAGGGTGGCTACTATAAGCAACAATAGTGTAGGCGCCCATACCGTGCGCTATTAAATCTGATTGTTTATTAAGTGTTGTTAATTTTGCCGTTTGGATGATTTCCCGGTAGAATGAAGATGTAGTCATATGAGATTGTATAGTCTATATAAGTCTGGAATATTTCGGGGTGACTGGTGGTTTGCTTGATGCCTTCATGTGAAGTGCATCTCTCGTTCAGACATTTTTCAGTGTATAGCTTGAGCATTTTTAAATACATGTTGTAGACGTATAGAAATAATGAATTCATGTATTTGAACTAGTATGGCCAGATTTTATCATTTCATCTAGAAATACGTTCAGTTTTGTGGACTTCTGAAAGCATGACATGAAATCATATTCTACTATAAAAAATATGCAAGGTTGGAGGCAGGGTTTATTGTGAAAACAACTCAATTGCCCTCACGCCATATATAAGGTTGGTGGCGAATGTGAAACCCTTCTTCTGGTACAGTGTTCATGCCGCCTGCAATCTTGGCGCATGGATTCAACACTTGCCATTTGTACCTAGTAACGAGGCGATGCAAGAAACAGAGAAGCTGGAGTCTCGCATATTCTTTTCCAGGACAAATTCGAGGACTGCTGCCAAATGGGATGTTAGAGTAAGCCTGTGGAGCTTTTCCATTCTCAAACCTGCTCGGGTAAAACACTTCCGGTGCACCGAAATTCTCGGGGTTTTTGTTTGTGGTGCTTGCGGACCAATACACCTTCCACCCTTGTGGAATTGTATAGCCTTCATAGGTGAAGTCAGTAATGACCTCTCTGAATGTTCCTTGAAGAGGTGGTACCAGCCTCATCACTTCAAGTGCCGCGCTCCATGAATATTTCATCTTCTTTATGTCATCCCAATTAAGTGCCTCCCCAGATTCTTTTGACCTTGCAATCTCCAATTGTTCTGCAGGTTTAATTCCAAATCTTTAGTAATTAATGAATTAATTTAAGTTATCAACATTAACTAATATAAATACCTGTTTGGATTTTGTCACAAATATCAGGTCCTTCACCAAGATATTTGACAAGGAAACTTGTAGCCATGGAAGGCGAGTGAAATCCACCCATCATCAAGCCCATAACTTTATCAGCAACTTCATTCTCTGGCATGAACCGCCCAGTGGGATCCGGATTAAACAGCAAATGAGACATGATGTCATTTATTTTGATCTCATTGGCACCACTGGACATAGCTGCTTTCTTCTCCTTAATCAGCAGCATAACCTCCTTCCTCATCGCATTCGCGGCTTTCATTGCCCGATAAAATGCGGTTCCTGCAACATTCAGAGGAGTAGTATGCAGCCCTGAAGTGATGACATTGGTCAATCTGGTAAGCTTTGCACTGCGCTCTTGATTGTCTTGGAGTCCAGTAAAGAAGCGAGATGATAGAGTCATCACAAGTAGCTGAGCCAGGTGATATACCTCAACTCTGTTTTTGCCGTCCCAGTGAAGCTTCAAATGTTTCTGAACCATACAATCCATACTCACTGCGTTTCGAACCACAGCTTCAGTTTTGAGAAAACCCGGTGAAGTTCTGATATGAACAGCTTCTGCTCGTGATGTGGGCGCCGAAATAACTTCTGCATGGACTGTGGTTTCCATGACAGAAACAGCTTTTCCTTGTTGGAAGAGATGAATTTTTGACCGGCATTGCCACAAAACACCACAGTTGGCTCCCCCAATATGTTGGTTTTGAAGAGTTTCGAAGGGTGCTTTTTCATTGTGTCCCCTACAAACTTTTCCTGTGTCTGGTTAAGGAAGGCAAAGGTTTCGCCGATAATTGGCCATCCAAAACTTCCTGGAGGAAGATTGGCTTTTGGAAGAAGCATTGGATAATTTGAACTTGAAAGCATGAAAAATGAGAGCCACGATGAATAACGTGGGAACGATTTATAGATAAAGGAAGGAGGATATTCTCCATGGTTGATGTGATTATAACTCGAGATCAAGTTTAACCAGTAGCAAATTAAACCAAAACAAATATATTAATCATGCAGAGATGAGAGAGATGCATTGCAAGGCTTGTCATTGCAAGGCTTGTCAAGCTACTTCTTTCGATATATAATCGCAAACCTCAGATGAGTCCCTCGCTATAGAATTATGGATGAGCACTCTTAGTTTTGATTTGGATTGCAGTGTTTGTTTCTATATTTGGGCTTCAGGTTGTTGGGCCTGAACTTAAGTGCCCATTTGTACTTTGGGCCTATCTTGTTTCTTCTGTCTTTATGGGCCTAAACAAACAGAATAACATTGTTCTGGTTCGATTATTGTAGGTATAAAGCCCGTGCCAGAGAGCAAAAATCTTAAGCCACACAAGGTGAACCCATTTCTTTATTTTTAAACGATGATACTATTATCACATTTGTATACCACATTCCTATACCGCTTTATGTGTCAAACACCCAATAACATCAAATCTTAGGCATTGTCATTGCCATTGCGCTTGAGAATTACAAGCAGCACATGAAGTGTCGGCATATCTGTGTCCAGAAGAATAACTGAAGGCTCTGCAGCTTTGATGGAGCACTGCTCAAACAGTTCCTCAGTGACATTACTTCCAAAATGTTTCCCAATAATTCCCTCAAACACAGCCTTTATGCTTGAAATACACTGTTTAGGTTCAGTCTTCATCTTTGGGTGGCTTATTGCCTCCATTTTCTCTATCCTAAACTCTCTGTTTCTCTCTATGATTGCCTTCAACTCTTCAAGTGATGGAAAATATACAGGCAAGTTGAAACAGTCCACTTTCTCCTTGCTCACCAATCCCTGCATGCAGTACACGGCCACCAATTAGAAATTAAATATTTCAAAATACAAATACATCTTTTGTGTCTCTACGAAAATGACAATGAACGCCAATGTTGGTTAGGTCAGTTCATCACGGCAATGAGTCCGCGCCCTCCTAGACCTAAGTTCGAATTCCCTCTCTCTAAATTAGATTAATTTAGAGTAATTAGACTATCACTTGTATTAAAAAAAAGAAAATGACAATGAACTGATTAATTACCATGTTGGCCATGCCCATCAGGGTTGATCCCAAAAGTTCAAACTCCAAAGCAGTTCTGGTTTCAGAGAACAAAATTCCAACAGGCAGACCTGGTATAACTAGTGCCATCAGCCCTCCACCCACAAGCTCATTTGCTCTTGCTTGCAAAAACAACCCCATATCATTAGCAAATTGACAAGAATAAGCCTCTGTAACTTCTCTGCTGCTGCTGATGCTGTAGAGAATCTTCCCTGCATTCCATGCAGAGGAGGTTCTTTCGGCGACCGGTTTCGGCACTTGTGAAAGCCAATTGAGTGCACAAGATGAGTGTACAAAATGAAGGGAAGCCTTGGGAAACAAGGGACCGTGAAAATGATGTAGAACAGATGACAGATTTTATCGCGGTTGAGCAAGAAAAGGGACGTGGTGAGTCGTTTGGCCTTTCAAAGCTGCATTCGAAGTTCGAAGTTAATTCCAAATAAATTCTGTTTTTCCGTTTTATTTGTAATAACTCCCCTAGCAGTTACAAGGGTTGAGAGTTGTGTATTTAGACGGGTTCGTCTAACGTTTTTTGGCAGTTCAGATTTTAATCAAATTAATCAAAGAGAGTTTCTCTTAATTTCTGGTGGATTCCAGTTTTCTTGTTACTCAAGGTTTTCGTTTGAAACCTTATTTGCTTGTGCTGCGTCAGAAAAGAACCAGGCACCCCAGCTGCAAAGTAGGGTATTTGGCTTTGGGGTGGGAGTGATTTAAACAGAGTGTTGAAATCATTGGAGACTAGATCACTGAAGAACACCTGAAATTCTGGGAATGTTTGGGAATTTTGTGACCCTAATTTGGGTTGAACAGCTTCTAGTATGGTCTGCACTGCAAGAAATGTATTGGGTCCAGTAGCACAGCCTAAGTCTGCAATGCGAAATGTGTTTAAAGAATCGGAAGCAATTAGTTGTTTGATGTCAAGCTTCTCAGCTATTTCCTCTTTGATAATTTCTTGAGCAGCTTCCAAAGCTCCTCTCTGTTGTAAAAACCAGGACATTAATTAACATCTTGAAAAATAAAATAAAATAAAATATAAAAAAAAGAAAAGGAAAAAAACCTGACAGGAGGAGTTCTGGGTGTAGCTTTGTGGTCCAGTTCCTTCATTCACTGCATCCATCTCTCTCTAGCTCTCTACAGTATGACTATGGTTATGGTGATGGGGATCTGCTATGTGGTAGCGGTAGACTCTCTCTAGCTCTCTTTCTTATAACCTTTTTGGTTTATACTTTCAGACAACTTCCTTACACATACTGAAAGCTTTTGAAAACATCCAAAACTCTGTGCTTATTTAGAACTTGAAACTAACGCACTTTTCATCATGGAGGACACCTGGAATGCATGTGAGGTCGACCATGCCATGTGGTCCATCCAAGTGCTAGCCAATCAGCGAAGAAAGATTCATGTAATCGAGGAAAGAAGCCAAAATTAAACAACAGTGCTGCTATTTCTATTATCGTTATATTTTTTTAACTCGTCTTATTTTTAAAATTTTTAATACAAATTTATTATTTTATAAAATAACTTCTAAAGACTTGGAAAAAATTTCCAACATTTCTCAGACATGTCAGCTTTTAATTATTTTATATTATTTTATATTTCTAAATTGGGGTTAGCAGTGTCGTTATCTTTTTGTCTCTCTCTTCTCGTCCCTTTCCTTGCTCTCATCTTCTCATCACAAACAAACACCAAAGACATGATTCTTTCTTCCTTTAAGCTTTCTGGGTTTCTGGGTTGCTTGCTCCTTTGTCTATGTTTCCTTTAACACACCTCTTAGATCATGAAAACAAATGTAAATTTCAAGAATTTCAAGGAACTTTAGAATGGGGAGTGTCGAGGGTGGGGTTTCGATGTTAAATTGTAATTTTTCATTGCACGTGCGATGAGTTATTCTTGTCAACGCTCACAAGAAGTGGGTTTTCATTTTCATCTTGTTATTATACTCTGAATTTGGTCCTTTTCTTTTTCTTTGTGCGAGTGTTGCAATTTATTGGAAACAATACCAATATATTGTCTCCAATTGCAGCCTACACGTATGGATCATATCATGATGGGATTTCAGAATTCCAAACAAGTTCTAAATTGGAGAATTGGAGCCTTTGATTGGGATGGTGGAATGACATTGAGTTTTGCTGTTGTGAAATTATTGTAAGTGTACAATACGCACAAGTAATATAAAGATAAGTGAAGTATCGTTCTCACCAAGAGTGGAATTTTGTTCTCTAAAACCAGATAGGCCCAGGTGACTATACTGGCAAGACTAGATGGGCCCAGGTGAGCTTGGATCATATCATGATGGGATTTGAGAATTCCAAACATGCTTGATAGACCATAAGCACCACAAGTAGGCAAGTAAGTGGGATCGTTTAGGCAAGGTTTGTGTGTTTTAACAAATTCATCAAAGAATTCTTCTTCATAACCCATTGTAATACAAAGAACCTTTTCCTTTATCATTGAATCAACCCAATAAATTGAATAAAAGAAGTTAGTACCACCACCTCCATGTATGTATGCATTTTGCTTGCTCATCAGCAAAAGCCGATGGGTTTTGACACCTTATCTCGACAGCTACACAGCCAACAACTAAATACGAATTCAGCTCCAAAAAATGATGGTAACTTTTCTAACTCAAACTCTCTGGCATTGATCATTAAGACCAATTGTGGGTATAAATTGACACATGCACAGATGCACTCTACGTGTTTTATGAAATGACAAAGTGAGGTCTTGAGATTTCGTTAAGTTGATAATTCCACCCATTTTGATCCCTTAAACTTCCAAAATCATAGTTTTAGCTCAAAATCCTTGATAGGAATGGTTGCCTACAAAATCTTCACTAAATACATTAAACTAACCAATTTCACACAAAAACAATGCAAATAGAGATAGATTATATATGCAAAATAGGAATCTATCATTTGCCTTGTGATAAGTCCAGACGGTGAGTGAGGTGTACTGGGTAAAGAACCACACTAGCGCTAAGTCGATGAGGAAAGAGAATGAGTTCTTGGAAGTGGGAATTAGGAGAGACTAGCAAAGTAAATTTAAGTGAATTAATAATTAAAGGGCATTTTAGGAATAATGGTGGGTGGAAAGAAAGGATTGTATTTTTTCAAATTTACATGGTAACTGGGAAAATAAGATAGGGGAGTGGAAATAACAACTCTTTTTCTATTTTTGATGACTTTTTTTATTGAGAGATTCGATAATATACTAAACTCACACACTACACGGACGCTAAGACTCAAACTCAGGACCTTACCTGGTGGATCCTTTACAGCAGCACTCTTAAACAATCACATTTTGGGATTAGATACCCCAATAATTAATGAAAAAATAGATTCCACCCACCTCATCCCTATTGGCCCTTAAACCTCAATTGTTTTATGGGTTGTAAATAATGTTTGTTTAGACAAGCATGCAACATTTTACGGGTCTTGTTCTATCTCACCTACCTCCTCTGTCACATATCACAGTGTTAACAGCTGCTGATCAGTTCACTTGATGGACTGGATAGGGCTTTTATTTTATTTTTATACAAGCGATATTAGGAGGGAAATCGAATCTAGAACCTTGAATGCAAGAATAATTTCTTTTAACTACTCAACCTATAAGCCCTTAAACAGGACAAAGCATCTTAGCTTATGCTTATATTCAGATTCAACAAACAATATCATCACAAACAAAATAAATTACTTTTACAGCAGACTAATTGCGCTTAACAAGGACAAACAAATTTGCCAAGTTCTTAATGCGAGCAAACTGAGGTGACTTGGAGAATTCTTCAAGCTTGTCCGAATATCTCTTGAAAAGTTCATCAACATTGAGGTCGGATCCGAAATGCTTGCACAGGATGTCTTCCATTGCAGCTCTTGCATGAAAGCAGGAAACTCGAACCTCCTCAGCACTAGAAACCTTTGCTGGGAAGCGCATTTCCTCCAGCCTCTCAATACTACAACCAAGGTTTTTGTTTTTCGTACCCAACAATATCACTCCTTCAACTTCACTGGCACTTGGAACGTAAATGGGTAGACTGAACGAGTCCACAGCAGCCTCACTTAACAAGCCCTGCAATCAATTACCAAATATACGGCCATTAACTAAAAACACAAGTAAAAGACAGAAATGGACGTAGACGTGGGTTGAGCCAGTTGGTGAGGGCAGTGAGCCCATCTCCTTGCACCAAGTTCGGATTGCTTGTATCAAAAAGAAAAGGACAGAAACGGGAAGATAAAAAATTATGTAGCAAATTGATATTAGTACTTAATTTGAGCCTGGCCCTTACCTCTTTGACCATATCTGCAAGTGCATCTCCCAAACACTCCAAGATATTCATGAGCGTTGACTCTGAAGGGAGGCTTGGCTCTGGCCTGCAAGGCATGGGAATGGCCAGCAACCCATCATCCGCCAGTTCTGCTGACCTTGCAGTGAAGAAAGCCTTCATGTCCCTCGCAAACTGAGCAGCATAAGCCTCTTCAACTTTACTGGATTCACTCCTCGCGTACGTAATTCTTCCCTTGTTCCAAGCCGGAGACACTTCTTTAGTGACTTCTTGGGGAACCCTAGTGAGCCATTGAACTGCAAAAGAGGAGTGCATTAAGTTCATTGAGGCCTTAGGAAATAGCCGGCCATGGAAAGAACCTGGAACTCCGGCTGCCATGTAAGTCCTGTCAATTGGGAAGGCTATAAACAGAGTGTTGAAGTCGTTGGCAACATGATCGCGTTGAAGAAGACTTGGAATTCTGGCAATTGGGTTTCAAAGCCCTGAGCTTTGAACTCAAGCTTCACAGCTTCTATGAGGGTCCGGACACAAGCGAAGGTGTTGGGTCCAACTGAACATCCAAGGTCTGCAATTTTAAATACTGGTGTGATAGTGGTGGCATTGGAATTTTTATTAATTGTGAGCTTTTCTCGGATGCTATTTCTCAACAAGACCTTTGCTTCATCAAACCACTCTCCCTACCATCAAAGTCAGTTATATATTTTCATCATCACAAATTCATACTTCATCTCGACTTTTCAAGGAAAAAAAAAAACAATATATTAGTCTCTTGGAATATAAACAGTTAGATAGCCTGGTTTTAGTGGGCGAGACATATATAAACCTGGCACTTGGAATTCTGCTTGTAGCTGTTCAGGCCATCGCCACCATTCATTGCAACGGAGTCCGCCATGTCCTGATACTTAAGCTTGACTCTGCCACTTCTATGTTACATTCTCAAATATAAAAATGGTTGGGCATCAATCATGCCAAACTGATTAAACCGGTTAATTTGGACCGTAATGGCTGGTTTGATTTGGTTTTGATCAAGGAAAAAGTCAAATGATTTAAGCTAAACCTAATGGCTTTACAAGAATAACCATAGTCATTATCACCATACAAAATAAAATTACTCGAGCACAACTTGAGAGAAGTCCTCCATCAAAGTTCAAACCCATGTAACCCCATCCATTGATCTCATTTTCTTAATTCCAAGCATTTTCTTGCTAAACAAGCCACATGCAAGAGACACAGTAAAATGTAAAAAGTCAAATGACACTGGCACTTTTGGACTCTTCGGAGCACACATATACTTGTTTTACGCCTTCGAATATCAGCCCACAAAATTGATAATCTCATCCAAAAATATGTTGGGATTAAAATAGAGTTGCAATGTACCCCTACTCTATAAAATTAGAAAGTAGATGAAATGGGTACAATTATTTTCTTAAATTTTCTATTTTCAATTTTCTGTGCGATGAAATAATTTTTTTAAAAAAAATTTACGAACCGTGGCTGGAATGGCATTAAGTTGGATCTGAATTGGGATTAGTTTCACACTTCACAGCGTGTGGGCAGATAAATCGACGGTTCAACTGTTTGATATGCTGAAATTGACAAAAATAAATAATTGAGAAACGCATTTTGTATGTAGATTCTCTTCCATGTGCAATCCAAACATTAGCAAGCTCCATCCAAATGCAAGGCCGACCGAAAAACCCATCAAAATATACTATTTTTCTATTCTCTCCACTTGGGCAACAACTTTTACCCATGTACCTTTACCTTCTTCATCCCCTAATCTATTCACAAACATTACAGCAAAAAAGAATCAAGAGCAGGCAAACAAAACCTCAACAGAAGTACATAATTCAAAAACTTCACTCGAGACCATTATCATGGTTTGTGTTGTGCATAAATTGAGGTAGGGACTGCTTGGTGAGGAGTCGGAGCCTTTCCATTTACAAGCAATTGTTCTATGAAATCCACACGAAATGATTTGAACTGGTACAACTGACAAAAGCATCGGAACAAGAACAGAATGTTTATGTACGCGGGTAAATAATTAATACCGTTGTTAATGAAAATCAACAATCTTAAAATCCACAAATAAGACTGCATTCAAATTAGAATCTATTTTATTACTCAATCATTTAATCAAACAAAAACGAAAGAAAGTCCAAATTAGTTAAATTAAGCACCTTTTCTTTCCAAGAAAAATTGACATGCCGATGAAAAGGGTCCAATATTGTCAGCTGATCTCCTTCTTTGATCTGTGAGAGCAAGGTTCAATTTGACTCTTAAATCACTTAAAATGATGAAAGACAAAGCATGTTTGCTCAATACATAAAAAGGTCAGACACAAATCCATATTTGGAATGTAAAGAAAGTACCATGTACTTTCTATTTCTCATTTAATTCTTAAGCTGCTAACTCTTACCAAATCATACTGAATGCCATAAACGGACACAACGAAGCATATTTGATTTGCATCACATGCCAAATAATACCTAAAAATGAGAAAGAGAGGATAAAATGGTCAAGAACAAAGCTAAAAACCTACAAAATACAGATGCACTCAGCACCCGGCAATCTCTGTTACACACACAGAGCAAGTTCATATTATCAAGCACTTTAATTACACCGCATCACAGTTCTACATATTAGGAACAGAATGAAAGAGATAAATTTAGGTATTCAAGCAGATATGCAAGGTGCTTCCAGAGGACTTACAGTGGAGCAACATTCTCATGCTTAATGAAGAATAACACTTTTCCTATTAGTGCTACTGCTTTGTTCAGACCCTCTGACAGAAGATCTACAGTAGCTCTTCTGTACGAGGAGTTCACTTATAGAAGATGCAAACAAGGAAAATTAGTATATCGCCACGATAAAAAAGGACAATGGGGCAGATTCAGTCAAATTCACAAATCATCATAAACTACAAACATGAAAGATTAAGGAAGCATACAGTTCACAGCAGCCAGAGATGATGCTAAAGATGCAAGCCGTTTAGATCTAGCATGTCCCTTTGAAACAGAACAGAATCTATAAGAACAAGTACACGTTGTAGAATGGTGTCTTTCAACCAGTAAACTACTTAAAAAGGGAGGAAAACGCATTGAAGACCCCAAAATACAAAACTTTCAACGAGAAATACATTACCCTTAACAAATTATCTAACTTGTCAAGAAGGTTAACAATCTTTTGAACCTCCTCCATAGCATTGAGACCAGGATCCTTTAAAGCAGCAGCTTCAAATCCAGTAAGGGCCCTTTCATAGTTTTCTAGATATTTGTTTACCTAAAATCAGAAACTCAATGTTATATTTGTTTTGAATAGAGGAACTTGTGAGTAATCGCAGACATAAATCAGAAGGAAAAATAAACTTACAGTGGCAGAGTTAAAATATAGGTCTGGATTGGACTTCATTCTTTCATCCTTTTCCTGATATGTAATATTAAAAATCAGAACATCTTCCATGCTTATAGAAAGAAAAGGCCTAAATTGCAGCATATGGATAAATGAATAATTCCCCTAATCATGATTAGTGAGACACCCACAAGCGCAGATGACCCATTAACAGGAAACAGATCTCTAAGGAAGTTCTTACTTTACACACTTACAGCATTTTGGTATGCCTTCAAAGACTTCAGAAGTTTGGCGTGGTCCCAAGCTCCAGTTACAAAGAAACTTGTAAGACATGCATTTCCAAGATTATCTGTCAATAGGGTTAGACAATGTTAGGTAGAAAGAATAAACACTAATCTCAAACAATAAGCGTAGAAGCCAAACAAGGGCTTAATTTAATCACTTCAAAATATTTTTATTAAGCATGTACAAGATGCTGATGTACATCAATATGCAACCCAAAGAGAAATGATATCATCTACCAGTCCAACTAAGCGAACCAAAAGGAGACTAGCAAGCATCCAAGGTAAGTGGCAAAGCAAACTAAGCGTAATGTGCCATACGACATATCCAGTATAAATCTTACTCAAAGTTGAAGAATATAGAACTTTTTGAGATGGTCGAATATGAGATCTTACACCAAGAATTCCCATCCTTGACATCCAAAGTTATGGCTTCCTTGGCGTGTTGAATGCTTTCATCAACAAGTTCTGCCTGATTATCAGTACCTAGAGACAGGGATGAGATTTAGATTAGCACAATGACGCACACGCCATGAAAGACAACAGGAAAAATGAGTTGAGAAACAAAAGGTTGCCTTGAGCCATTTTCCTTTCGAGCATGGACAGTTGACAAAGTATCTGTTTGTTTGGACACTGTACAAGACCGAAAATAAGTGGCTATCATAAAACTTACAGTAAAATGAATTGAGAGGTCACTGTGATGAAAACACACAAATCAAATCAATGATAACCTTGCTTAGTGCAAGAGTAAAGCAGTTCTTGGCTGAAGATAGATCTCCCTTCTTCCAAATGCAGTTACCTAAACATAGCCAAGCATCTGCAAGAGATGGATTCAACTTAACCTGCAGCGTTGATTAATCTATTTCAGGAAGTGAACTTCGGCTTGAGCATTACAAACATGCTGAAATACTGGAAAATACAACGCATTGTTGCTTACAGCTTTTGAGAGATGATCCTCTGCTTCTTTTCTATAGTCCGGTAAGACATCCAATATCTTTCCTCTCAGATATTCGTATTTTGCACGCTGTGCTGGAAGTTTCCTTTGCTCTGGTAAAGGACATAATGTTTGACAATTAAACTGAATGACATGCAAACATTACAAATATAAACAAATAACAAAGAAATTAGCGGTGCAACAATTTAAACAACCAAAGAACCAAATAAGACCAACCATAAACTAGTTCTGTGAGTATCCCAGATTTATAGGCATTATCATTGAAACGAAAAACACTTCTATTTCAACCAATGTAGCCCAAATTTGGTCCTCCAAAGTTCAAACAAGCATATCAAGGAAAAACCCATCAAAGATAAAGGCACAAATAAGCTTGAAAACACAATAAGGACAGCTTTTCAAATGGTTTTCATAAAAGATGAAATGAAATGGGCACGTGGAAATATTACCAGGAGGAATGGAATCGAGGAGGCTGAGAGCGAGATCGGATTCGGCATTCAATTTGGCGATTTTGTCATCTGGGTTGGGCGGAAAGTAGGTGTCTCGAACTAGGTAAAGCGCTTCGGTAGCGCTGGTGGCTTTGACCGAGCGTCGTCTTCCACTGCTTGACTGCTCATCGCTCAGGCACGCACAACAGAGCCAACTGTGAGAACGCAAGAAGACGGGGCCTGCCCGAAAGATTGTAGCTTAAGATAAAATGGTGACCCGAGGGAGTGAGTGTGGAGCCTATTGTTGACTACTGTTCTCGTGGATGTGGGACAGAGCGCGCAGGTCGATGATGACCCTGAATCTGTTGCCTGCTGGATATTACAAACGACGTGCAATATTACCTGTTAAACGCATGTCGTTTCCTTTTGGGCCTCCTTCGTCAAACGTGCGTATCGCGAGAGACTGTGTTGCGGACAAAATGGCCGGCAAAGGCCCTAGGCCTGTCTGTGGAGTTGGGCTGCACTATTAGCTTAAGTGGGCTACCCTCTAATTTAATTGAAGTTTAAGAAAATAAAGATGAGTGATGAAATAAGAAAATGAGACAACAAATAGAAGTTACATCAAGAATTTAGATTTTTTTAAATATAAATGATAATGTAAATTACTCTAAATTACTCTAATTTATGTGGAGGGAACTAAAACTTGAGTATAATGGGATGGACTCATTGCCTTAGCCAACTCGGATATCCCACGTTTCCAAAGTTGAGTATTTTTAAATTTAAAAAGAATCTTCATGCTAAGTTAATGTTGAAAATAGAGAGGATTTTCTCTTTCCATTTTTGTTTGTTTCTAAAATCTCAACCATTTAAAAAGAAGTAAATGCAACATTTTATTTGCTTTGCTAAAACAATATTGCTTTGAAAGCGGAAGGACGAAAGAAGTCCCATCTACAAAAGAATAGAAACTGCAAAACCCAATCCAGAGAGAGAGAGAGGCACACAGTAAAGGTACTGAATAGAATTATATGAATGGAGCAACTAATGTTGTATGATGAACAAAATAAATTGATAATTAATTAATTATAAATCAATGAGAAACGAATGTCTAACAAAAACAGCTTTGTTTTGTGGCGGCTAGCTACCTACCTGCTGATAAAGGTACTGAATAATACTGATGAAAAATGAGGCTCTTGATGCACACCACACCATGCTCGTGCATTCTGTTTCATAATTTGTCTCCACTTCTTCACATTTCTTTCTTTCTTTTTCGCCTTTTTCATGGCCTGCATAGCTTTCCCTTTCCCTTCTCTAATTCATATGTTCTTAGTATATATATACATATGTAGCACTTGGAGAAAATGCAAGTGGTCTTGATCATGATGGTTAGACTAGTTTTCTTTCTTGCATCTATTTTCTTATCTGTTTCCTCGGCAAAACATTCTCCGTCCAGTGTTAACGTTGTGTCTGGGATCTTCATCTTCGGAGACTCAATCTTCGACGCCGGAAACAACCACTTCAACAAGAACAGCACCGCTCAAGCAGATTTTCCCCCCTACGGCTCAACCTTCTTCCACTACCCCACTGGCAGGTTCACTAATGGCAGAACTGTTGCTGACTTCATTTGTGAGGCCTACCTTACCTATAATTAAGTTATATTATTACTAATTTTTATCATCAAATATATTAATCAAGTTATTTTCTTAAATTATTTGAAAATGGTTTTATAATATTTTGTATGTATATATGTGCAGCACAATTCATGGGCATTGATCTTCAAAAACCATATCTTGAGGCACAGATTGAAGTTCTCAATGGAAGCCTCAAAGATTATCCCTCCAATGGCATTAACTTTGCCAGTGCTGGCAGTGGTGTTTTGCAGGCAACAAATCGCGATTTGGTAATAAAAATCATACTCTTTCCATGGAATTTGGAGTAAATGAATGTCTAATAAAGTGTTTTAATTCACAATTTTGACAACATAAACATCTCATGTAATCACGCCTATATATATATGTGGACGCCAGGGCGTGACCTCACTCCAGGAACAATTACGACAATTCCAAACACTGGTGGAGCAAAACCAGATTAACAAAACCCTAGTCCAAAACTCCATCTTCTTGTTCGAGTCTGGTTCCAACGACATCTTCAGCTACTTTATCCCAATTGACCCTCGAAAACTTGACCCCGACGCCTATGTGCAAACCATGCTAACCCAAGTCTCAAAATTCTTGGACCAAATCTACAAACTCGGCGCTCGCCGAGTCTCCATATTTTCACTGGGACCTGTTGGGTGTGTCCCAGCCAGGGCCCTCTTGCCAGGCACACCCATTGATCGATGTTACGGGAAGATGAATGCTATGGTCAACAAATTCAACAAGGGTCTAGAAAGCTTGGTCAACGATACGCCTTCTAAGCACCGCGGTGTGCTCAGTGTTTATGGTGCAGTGTATGACATTGTTCAACACTTTCGAGCCACTCCTACACGTTACCGTATGGAATGTTCTTTAAATCAATTAATCACCCTGTATACTAAACTAAGACGACATTGATTAATTAACATGCTAATTATGATTATATATGTAGGGTTCTCGGACGTGTCGAGTGCATGTTGCGGAGAAGGTACTCTAGGGGGAATGATACAGTGCGGCAAGGAGGGCTACAGGCTTTGTCCAAATCCCAATGAGTTTTTGTTCTGGGATTATTTCCATCCATCGGAGCGTGCTTACAAGCTCATATCCAAGGCCTTGTGGGCTGGCAAGAAATCTCGAATTAGACCCCTTAATTTGAAGACACTAGTCAACATTAGCCTCCCTCATGTTTGACCAAAACATTTGATGAGTAAAATGACACATGTTATTGTTGGGAGTTTTTTTTTTTATAGTTGGACTCATTTTACACCTCTAAATATATCCAATTAAGATTGGAACGAAATAAGAGAATAATCCCACGTCTTTATTATATTAATTACTTTTGTTTTTGTAAATATATTCTTATATTATTTTGGCCTAGCCCATAGCAACATTACAACAATCAAATTTAAAGATAAATTTGATGTGGACATGCTACCAGTATATGCAAGCAATTTAAAGTATGTACGAGCTAGCTAGGGCACCACATGTTTTGTTGGTTAAATATCGTTAATTCATTGAATATAAATATATTCAAATTAAACTCCAGCATAAATGAGTAAATTGAGGGGAAAAAAAACTCTGTCTGAGTGGGCGCGGCTTAATTATTGTTTGGGATAGGATTAGGATAGGCTGTCCGGTGTCGATAAAGAAATGACAACTTGCATTCTTTGTTTCGTTAACTTATATGTGGTCTTCATCTGCAGCCCTATATCCGCATGCCCCATATACTGTGCGATCCCATCCAATATAGATATATCATTCATCACAAAGGCACATTCTCAACTGTTAGGCATGGCTTGTGTGAAAGCCCACCGACAAACAATACGAAATGGCAGACATTCCAACCTAATTTGTTCGGGTATAAACTACTATGTATTTGAAGTTTTAAGTTAACGTTTCAGTTTTTATAATCAAACCCAAGCGATTATGGTGGAGTGAAAACTAGTCTACTAAACTTCAAACTCTTGAATTATCTAAACTGTTAAACTGTCGATTTTAAAATGGTCAGTGCCACAAAATCCTAAAGATTATGGTGGAGTGAAAACTAGTCTACCAAACTCTAAACTCTTGAATTGTCTAAATTGTTAAACCGTCAAATTTAAAACGGTTAGCATCACAAAATCCTAAAGATTATAGAACAATAACACTTAATTGGAACCAAAAGACACCAATTTAAAAATAAAAAAATAAAAAAATTCATCCATGGTTGAAAATCATCAGCAAGAAGTAAACTTGAACAGTGGGATGAAGAAATTAAAGCGCAAGTTCTTCAATCAGGATAAATAAACTGCGAAGGGCAAGGGTAGACAAAATGGAAGAGCCATGAAACTCTCTTGTTTCCTATGATTAAGGTGTACTTTAGGTGCGTGTTGACACCTCCAGTTGGATTTGGGCTCAAAGTAAACCCATGAAAAGACATTATTAAATAATTAATTAAATGAATTGCTAGAAAATTTCCAAGCTTTCTAGTAAACAACTGGGGGCAGCGAGTCACCACCAGCAGCTGGAAACTCTCAAAGTGTGGAAGGTAATTTATGGGGCCCACACGCATTCACAGCGAAAATTCGCATGACAAGGAGGAAGAGGCTCGAGGCATTAAAGTTTGAAACACATGCTCCTTCGCCTACTTTTCCCAGACGCGCATATTTCTTCCTCTTTTTTGTTTTCAATTTTAAACTTTTTGGTAAAATACCAAACAAGTTACACCCACAAACAAACTTCCACAACTCCTATTTTCAAAAGCACATGATTTTATATTTATTTTTATTAATTTTATAATATGAAATTCCTCCCAAACCAACCAAGCCAACCTTCTAACCAATTTTAATTCGTCACAAGTCTATAATGGGAAACTACATCTCATGCACTTTGGCCACGCCTCTGATCAAGAGCTCCAAATCAGCAAGAGTGATCTTCCCAAACAGCGCCGTTCGACAGTTCCGGGAACCGATCAAAGCGGCGGAGCTCATGCTCGAGTGTCCGGGCACCTTCTTAGCAAACTCTCAGTCTCTCCACATAGGCCGCAGATTCTCCGCTCTCGGCGCCGACGAGGAGTTGGAGTTTGGCAATGTTTACATCATGTTCCCGATGAGGAGGCTCAGCTCTATAGTCACGGCAGCAGACATGGCAGTGTTCTTCATGGCGGCCAACTCCGCGGCCAAGCGCATATCCGGCGGCAAGGTCAGGATCTTGCCCGAAAACGGCCGCGAAGGAGGAGAAATGGTAGGAGCCGAGAGCGGGAAAGAGAGTCATGATGATCAAGATCAAGATGGTAAAGGTGATCGAGGTCCACTGAGATTGAGTTTGGATGGAGTTGAGGGGTTGCAGGTGGCAGAGTTTCAGTATAGGTTAGCCGCCTGTCGGTCAAGGAAGCCTGTATTGGAAACCATCAAAGAAGAGCCGATTTCTTCAAGATAAATATGATTTTTCTTCTTCTTTTTCTTTAAAAAAAAAAAAAATTAGATAAGGGAATTAATATCTTATTAATTTGGCTTGTAACTGTAATGGTGGTGGTCGCTCTGAGGTTTTTTTTTTTCAAAGAGAAGGGTGAACGGGAGAGAGAGATTTGATTTGGTGTAATTTGGGGGAAATGGAATATAGTTAATGTGTGACTTTGGTTGGTGGATAATTAATCACCAATTTACTATAATTACTATTGTAAAGATTTACACGTGT